GCTGGTTTCTCTTTATATTCTTCTGTGTCAGTTTTATTCTTCTTCCTGATGTTCTGCCAGAAATAAATCAGTCAAGAGATTTTATCCTCTCCTAAAAATGGTTTGTCTCTTTCTGAGACTTAGTTCATTCAGGTTTTTCTAGCATATTCAGCCTTATGGATGATTTTTTTAAAATTTATGATTTTATAGTTTATCCAGCTCATTCTCATTGTGGGGAGTAGGAGCAACAGTCTCTTTCTCAATTCCTTTGATAACTCCTTCTTGTCTACCTCACATTTTGTATTTGTCTTCCTCCTAGACTTTATTTGAGTGGTACATTAAGCCTAACAAAAAAAACTCTCAGAAATCCCATATGTTCTATCCTTTTTACATAGATGTTTATTGAGGTTATTTTTTTAAGCCTCAGACACTATCTTCAAAAAAGACAAAACACGGTAAATACTATGTTTGGATTGCAAAAATTCTACTGAGAATTGAATAGAAACATATCTGCTTATATAATCTGGAATGTAGAATTTAGAATTTTGCAGACTGGAGGCAAGTATCTAGAGGTACTAATATGTGCAAGTATCTAGAGGGTCATAATATATGCAAATATCTGTAATGTATGCAATATATACATTACATCTATATATATACATATACATATATACACATATACAAACATATATACACATATACAAACATATATACATGTGTATATATATATATACACATACATGTATATAGGACTTAATAGGGTCCAGTCATCTGTATTCAGAGAGACAGATTTTGTTTCTTTGTTGTTACCACACCTTATTCCAGAAAGGACTTAAGGCATAGTAAGGTATTCTTATTCTCATTTTACAGACGAGGCCCCTGAGATCACAAGAAGCAGAGTGATCACTCCAAGTGTGCAGAGTAGAGGGGAAACCCAGGCTCCAGCTTCTTGGCATCACACTCATTCCATTACTCACTCATTTCAAAACTAATCAAATGTGCCATAATATCCAAGAGTGATATAATTTTTAAATTGTCTAAGCAAAAATAATATCAAAATTACAGAATAGTTAGAGGAACATCCATACATCCTATATCCAGGTTCACCTATTGATAACATTTTGCTCCATTAATTTGTAATTTGCTTTCCATCCATCCTCCACATATTTTTTCTGAACCATCAAAACAAGATATTGTATACATGATGGCCCTTTATCCCTAGATACTTCAGCCTGCATTTGCTAAGAGTGAGGATATTTCTTTATGTACCACAGTAAAATTTAACAAATTTAACAATGATACATCATTTTTTACTATTTATATTCCGATTCTGTAAACTGACCTAATAATGCATTTATAGCATTCCCCCCTTCCCATATAGGATCCAGTCTAGGATCAGGTATTACATTTAGTTGTCAAGACTCTAGTATTGTTTAATGTGGAGCATTTCCCTGAGCCTTTGTCTTTTATGACACTGACATTTTTGAAGAATATAATCCTTTTTTTTCTCTCTTCATAGAATGTTCCTCATTTTAGATTTGTCTGATGTTTCCTTGTGCTTAGATTCAGGTTATGTACTTCCAGATGGAATACTATAAGAGTGATGTTGTGTCTTTCTCAGGTTATCACATCTAGAGGCACACATGATGTCCATCTGCCCCTCACTGGTCACGTTAATTTTGATCACAAGGTCAAGCTGTTGCCTGGTTTCCCCAGTATATATTTATTTGTCTTTGCAACTAAAAAGAAATCTGTGGGGAGACACGTTAAGATCATAAAACAGCCTGCTCTTCCTCAAGAATGGATTTTTTTCTATAACAGTATTTTCACTATTGTTATAAAAACTGACCTCTACATAGTAAAAGAAACCTAGGTTTCATTTATTATGCTTGAATAAGTTCTGTGACAGTCTTAACATCTGTTTTAATTACAGCAGTCCATGCACACTGGGTGTTTACTAAAAACTGTTCACTAGCTACTATCTGGGTAGGATATAGGCAATCTGACTTTTAAATCCAACTGGTATCAATACCCTAATTTTGATTTAATAAAAAAGTCTCTTTAACTTATGTTACAAGATTTAGAAATTAAAGAATATAATTGAAAGAATGTTCTATAAAAAAGAGAAGGAAACAAAGAAATTTGTAAAAGAACCTACCTCTTCTATTTATTCAATTCATATATGAATTTTGGTTATAATATTTATTATCCAGTCTTTTTAAAGCAGTATGATTTTGAGGTGAGCTTTAAATCAAGGCCTTAACTTGGATTGAACATAGCTAGTTTAAATAAAATGTTTGAATAGCCAGGTGGTTTAGTTTCTGAGGTTGGTAATAAGAAGTCAAAAAAAAAAAAAAAAAAAAAAACCCCAAAAACAAACACAACTTTTTTAGAAATAGTTCTTAAATTTAAAAAATGTGTGTGTTTTGTTGTTTGGTTTTGGGTTTTGTTTTAGTTTTTAAAGATGCCTTGTTTCTCATTTTGCTACCATGGACCTCAACATTATGTAAGAGCATGTTTTGCAAACCAGTCATCATGCTGAACGGGCATACCATTAATTCAGCAATTTTTTCACTGAAGTCAGGAAACCAGAGGGGTAGGCCAAAGGCTTTCTCTCTTAAAAGGAATACAAACTTTGCTATTGCTCCTTTCTCTCTGGAGGCCAGCTTCTCATTTATAACACTGTCTTACTTGCAATACAATAAAATTCCAACCTTTATGACAAAAGAGATGGCTTTTTGATCAATAGAATTCAGCAGCCAAAGCATTAGTGTTTTTGGGTTTTTTTTCTTTCTTTCTGGAAAGCATTTGTAGCCACAGGCTCAAAGGAGGAAGAAAGGGAGAGGGATTAACTCTCTGCAAGGAAGGTCAAAAACATAATTTACAAGTGAGGCAAGAGGAGCAGCTGTATCTGTTGGCCCAATCAAGACTACCAGCTGGAGAATTTACCAGCAATATGAAAACCACATCGACCAGATGTCAAGCAATGCAGCTAGAGGCCAAACATCTTTGGACTCAATGCAGGACTCTCCACTCTCTTTATCACCCATATTTCATGTTAAATAGTAAGGTGCCTTCCACAGGCCATGAGCAGGGATAACTGGAACATTTCCACACAAGGGACTTAAATAACATGACAGTACCCCCCACCACACTGGCTTAAATACTGAAGCCCACCTCCTACTTGTTCTTTTATTAAAAAGCAATTTTAGCTCAGAGTCAGTATGTATGGGGTAAGAGAAACTTAAATGGCTATAAGCCATTCTTGCGGCTTATTAGGCTTGTTTATATTTGGGAATTACTTTGTCATTGGGAAGAAAAGTATGTTCTGAAAATACTTATTTGAATAATCATTTTTCCACTCATTCTTTAAACCCATGCTGCTCAACACAGTCGCTGTTTTGCCACATGTGGTTATCTAAATTAAAACTAAGTAATTTAGAGGCACCCGTGTAGCTCAGTCAGTTGAGCATCCGACTTTAACTCAGATCATGATCTCACACCTCATCGGTTTGAGCCCTTCATTGGGCTTTGCACCGACAACATGGAGCCTGCATTGGATTCTGTGTCTCCCTCTCTCTCTGCCACTCCCCCGCTCATGCACATGCTCTCTCTCTTTCTCTCTCTCTCTCAAAAAATAAATAAACATTAAAAAAAAACCCTAAATAATTAATTTAAGCTAATTTAAAGTTCTGTTCCTCAGGTATACTAGCCATATTTCAGTGCTCAATAGCCACATGTGACTAGTGGGTATTCCACTGGACAATACAATATAAATAGAAAACATTTCAGTCATTACAGAAAATTCTATTAGGTAGTATTGCTTGAAACTCAAAAATCACCTTTAAAGCAAGCAATTATAATACTCTTCTATATATACTATGAAACAAAGCAATCTCTGTGCATTCTCTTATGAAATAAGCCTACTAGTACAATGTGATAATCATATTAGTTGAGGGTAAGATAAAGGGGAGGAGAACTCAGTAACACTGTTACAAATATAAGCCAATCTTTGTCTTATGAAATGCTCCTGTATGCTGTACTCCCAGAAGTCCTGTGATGTGACTGGCTTGCTGGATAATATACAAAGGCCAGTCTGGACGGGTTAGTTATATGACAATTAAGCAATAAACTGACATGTACCCTTAATTTACTACATGCATCTTTAATTTGTTAATGATTCAGTCTATATCTGACAGTTTCTATCAGAAGTTTCCTTACTTATATTTCCCAATGTGCAAAATAAACGTGTCCTTTAAAAAAGAGGCTGCCCAACTTCACAGCTTTGCAATTGAGGCACTTTAAAGCCAAGTAAACATCATATGCCAGAGCTGTTTCTAAAACTTTTACGAACAAGAAGAACATAAGGCCAGTATAAAATAAAACCCACAAATTATATTTCTTACTCCCAGACTCACCCATCGTGGCTGTAGGGAAACCAAGCAACTCACAAGGTGCTGTGTATGTCTGTATGATTGTTGTGACTCACGGAGGGATGCATGCCACAGGCACGTGTCGCCCAGAGCACAGACCTTTGACTCTTCCCACAAGGGCACCATGCCAGGGTATGCCAGAACACACCAGAGCACTAGACAAGTTGTATGTGTAAGCACATTGGCTGCCTCTGCCCTTGCACATGTATCTTCCCTCGGTTTCCTTGATCTATTCCAACACTCCCTGCAAAATCACCCAGCCCTGTCGGTACATAGCTCTCCTCCCATTTTCTCTTCTCAATCCTCAGTTTCTTCTTTTCCAATTATTCACAATAGATGAGGAAGGACAAGATGAAAATAAAAGGGGGGGTTGGTGTTTCCTAATCTCCCCTGCTTTGTCATTAAAAGCTCCAAAGATCTGCTGTTTTTCTTTGGCATCGTTAATGGTTCTTAATCAGATTCTCATAAAATCACAGAGCTACTACTGCCCAACAGAAGCTGAAAAATTTCATTTGTATCAACTTAGCTGGTTAGAGGTTCACGCAGCAGCTGCAAGTTTTCAGGTTATGCCCCAGTTTTCCCGCATACCTTGGCTTTCCCATCCTGGGCTGACATGTATCCAACACACATGCTCTCTGTCGTGTGGCTCCACAGAAATTCCACTGCCATGGAAGAGAACACAAGTAGGTACATTCAGATCACAGATGGAAAATAAATCTCTGCTTTTTAATAGAACAGTTAAAGATAGCTTTATATTTAACACACTCAGTTCCCTACTTTCCATTTCGTCCTTCATAAATGTCAAGATGATTTAGTACTCAAAACTGTGTAATGCCATTTACTGTGAAATGAAAAATGTATTTCTTTCTTGTCAAAACTTATGATTATTACATTTAAAATAAGTGGTCTTCTGTTTGAAACTTATAACCTTAAATACACACATGCACCATACATTCATACGTACAGTACACAATGCTTTAGCACATGTAATATTCCATAATGTAGTTTCCCTACACACACACACACACACACACACACACACACACACACACACACAGAGTCTTGGTTTTTAAATACCATTCTCCATGAAAAGGAACCAGGATTCCTTGGAGAATGTTCATTCCAGGGCTGGGGTAGAGAAAATATAAAATGAATCTGTAATATCTTTTTGTGTGTCAGAGGTAAGAAAGCTCAAAGAATGATGACAACTTATCAAAATGACCCAGAGGTCAGCCTGAAGGGGCTTCCACTGCCCTAATCTGTGTTGATCTAAGTACCAAAATAAGAACCAATGAACCCATACTAAGGCAAATAAATAAATAAATGAATAAATAAAAGAGGAAGAAAAGAAAGCTCTTCCTTGCAGCAGAATGCCAACTAATAAATATAGAAGAAATAATAGATTGAGAGTACCATCATGGTTGCTAAAATGAGTGGGTGAAAATTTGAAGAGAAGCAAGCTATTTACATAGTCTCAAAGTATCTCTCCATAATGTTCTTACAAAATATAAAACGGGGAAGTGTAAGTTCACTGTGAGCAACCAATGGACTCCCCCCTTAATCAAACAATCAAACCTTACATCATCGATTAAGAAAACAACACCACATTCCCCCTGATAAGGCACCATCTTATCTGATGCACTACCACTTCTGTGGTCCTTCTGCCAAAACTGCAGAGCCCGGATTGCGTGAGTAAACACCACACAAATCTGATTTCAGGTATACTACTAAATAACTGGTGTGTACTCCTCAAAAATGTTGAAGTCAATACATATAAAGAAAGCTGAAAAACCATTCCCATTTAAAGGAGATATGACAACTAAACGCAATGTGTTATCCTGGATTGGTCTGGGGGGTAAGGGGGGGCATCATAAGGACATCACTGAGATAACTGATGTAATTTAAAAGGGACTATGGATTAGACAATAATGTCATATCAATATTAAATTTTATGATTTTGATAACATTTAGAAAAATGGTCTGTCTTTAAGAAATATATACTGAAGTATTAGGAGTAAAGAGAGTTGACATCCACCTTGCCTTCAAATAGTACAGAAAAAAAATGCACATATTTAAATATGTATGTGTGTGTGAGCATGTATGTGTGTCTGTCTAGAGGGAAGAGAGGGGAAGGAAGAAGTGAGGATGGAAAAATAAACAGGGTGAATCTGGGTAAAGGAACAAAGGATGTCCCTTGTATTATTCTTGCAACTTTTCTGTCACTTTGAAACTCTATTTAAATAAAGAGTGACAAAAAGAAAGTCCACAAATATACAGATACACAAAACTCTGTCACCTTCAAGTATGTACTATCAAAATTCTAAGGGTTTTTTAAAAGGCTTTTTTAAAGCACTTCTTTAAACACTTCTCCAACAAAAATTTAAAAAGTCCCTGATAATAAAACTGCATTACTCAACACTAAACCCTCTGGGTCCCAGACCATCCATCTGTTTATATCTCTGAGCTAATTAAGCCTGAAGACAAGTGTTTGAGTTGAGACACAACTGTGGGATCAGTGATTCTAGACTCTGAAGGCTTTGCCAGACATGTGGGGAAGAAAGAAGCAGTAAGGGGCAAAACTGAGTTCCTCAGATACATGGCTCATTCCCTCATCATTAATTAATTATCAAACCTGCCAACCTGCTCAACAGACGCTCCGCTGAAGAGTGCAGGAAAACAGCATCACGCGATGAAGCAAGTTCCCTTCACCAGATGTTTTTCTTCCTCACACATCTGCTTTGAACTTCAAAAAATCTTGAAGTCCAGAGCAAAGTCTGGGATATTCTAAATTGCCTAATAGAGCAAAGGCATTCAAGTCTTATGAATTTCCTTAGAGTAGTGACAAAGCAATTGTAGTTAAATACAAAGTTAAGGCATTTCTAAAATTGAAACTTCTTATGCTCCACATGTCAAGGTGGCTCATGAATTAGCCATGGAAAGACAAGTACATGGAAATATAGTTGATCTAATCATGAAACTAAAGGATAAAGATGTTATGCTTTAGTTTTTTAAGACACAATTTTGATGATTTTAGACTGTATTATTCTCTCTAAAAATGTAGCCTGCTTTAAGGAAATATGATATATAAAAAATTTAGAATTATGAAACAGGATAAACTTGGTACACTGACTGATTTCATTTAAATAACTGTTTTTTTTTTTATTAAAGGGCTTCCAATGAAGTTTCTAGACATATCTTATGAGTTCTTAAAGGAAATAATGCAGTTTCTAAAAATTCAGTTTTAATTTACTCTTTTCACAAACATTTATTATCAAAAACTTGTGTGCATTGTACTGACACACTATTTTCAGTACCTACAATTCAAATATGTATGTACATATGAGTTATTAGTTCAGGCTGGCTTGAGAAGCTCAACAGAAATTTTTTACAATTTAAATTATAGAATGCTTTTGAAAAGAAATCCTATTTACTTAATTATATTCTTAAGGTAATTTATCCAAATATTTCTTAGTCGAGGGCTGCAGGAAAGCAGGAGAGAGAGGAACTAACACTGAGAATCTATCACGTGCCAGGCACCGTCTTTTGTAATAGAACTCATTAACGCCCAGATGGGGGACCTGAGGCTAAGAGCAAATAAGTGACCCGGCTTAGGTCATTTTAGTAAGTGCATAAACTACAATTCAAACTGGACTTTTGGATTCCAAAACCTGGTGAACTTCCATTATTCTATTGCTTTAAATTTACCCAGCATGGAAAGAAAGATTTGTAATTAGTACTATATACTAATTTAAGGAAAAGATTAAATTCGTTACAAACACCAAAGGACCACAAAAATTCAAACACAAACACAACTCTTAAATTTCTCTTAAGAAAAGCTTTTAAAACTGTAACAAAACCAAGAGGCCACAAAAGCCATGATCAATACATTTGATTACCTTAAAAATGTTTATAGGGGTGCCTGGGTGACTCAGTTGGTTAAGCATCCGACTCTTCAGCTCAGGTCATGATCTCATGGTTCATGAGTTTGAGCCCTGCTTTGGGCTCTGCACTGAGAACATGAAAACTGCTTGGGTGTCTGTCTCTCTCTCTCCCTCTCTGCCCCTCCCTCATGCCTCTCTCTCTCTCAAAAAAATTAAAAAACATTTTAATTATAAAAAAAAGAAATTGGTCTAGTTTCTTTTGTATGTCACTGTCCAGTTTTCCCAACACCATTTGCTGAAGATGCTGCCTTTTTTCCATTGGATATTCTTTCCTGCTTTGTCAGAGATTAGTTGGCCAAACGTTTATGGGTCCATTTTTGGTTTTGGTATTCTGTTCCATTGATCTAAGTGTCTGTTTTTGTACCAGTACCATACTATCTCGATGACTACAGCTTTGTAAATACAGCTTGAAGTCTGGAATTATGGTGCGTCCATCTTCACAGTTTTCTTTTTCAACATTACTTTGGCTATTTGGGGTCTTTTCTGGTTCCATACAAATTTTAGAATTGTTCTATCTCTGTAAAGAATATTGGTGTTATTTTGATACGGATTGCACTGAATGCGCAGATTACTTTGGGAAGTACAGACATCTTCATAATATTTGTTCTTCCAATTCATGCGCATGGAATGTTCTTCCATTTCTTTGCGTCTTCAATTTCTTTCAGAACCATTCTACAGTTTTCAGCATACAGATCTTTTACCTCTTTGGTTAGGTTTATTCCTAGGTATCTTACGGATTTGGGTGCAATTGTAAGTGGGACCAATTCCTTGATTTATCTTTCTGCTACTTCATTATTGGCATATAGTAATGCAACGGATTCCTGTACTTTGATTTTATATCCTGCAACTTTGCTGAATTCATGTATCAATTGTAGTAATTTTTTGGTGGAGTCTTTTAGGTTTCCCATGTAGAGTATCATATCATCTGTGAAGATTGGAAGTTTGACTTCTTCTTGCCAATTTGTATGCCTTTTGTTTTATTGTCTGATTGCTGAGGCTATGGAATGTCTTTTCATTCCCTCGTATCATCTTCAATTTCTTTCATCAGTACTTATAATAGTTTTCAGAGTACAGGTCTTTCACCTCCTTGGTTAGGCTGATTCCTAGATATCTTATAATTTTTGGAGCAATTGTAAATGGGGTTGTTTTCTTAATTTCTCTTTCTGTTGCTTCTTTATTGATGTATAGAAATACAACAGATTTCTGCACATTGATTTTGCATCCTGACACTTTACTGAATTCATTTATTAGTTCTAGCAGTTTTTTGGTAGAGTCTTGCAAGTATTTTCATTACTACGTTGAATAAAACTGGTAAGAATGGCCATCTCTGTCTTGTTCCTTATCTTAGGGGAAATGCTTTACGTTTTTCACCATTGAGTAGGATATTAGCTGTGGGTTTCCCATATATGGCCTTTATTATGGTGAGGATGTTCCCTCTAAACTTACTTTGTTGAGATTTTTTTTTTTTTTATCATGAATTGATGTTGTATTTTGTCAAGTGCTTCTCTGCATCCATGGAAATGATCGTATGTTTTTTTTAATCCTTTCTCTAGTTGATGTGATATATCACATTAATTTGTGAATACTGAACAATGCTTGTATCCAGGGAATGAATGCCACTTGACTGTGGTGAATGACTTTTTAAAATGTAGTTTGGGATTCAATTTGCTAGTATTTTATTGAGAATTTTTGCATCTATGTTCATCAAAGATACTGGTCTG